TCGACTCATAGAGGATCCCTTTTCTGTGTCGTTTAGTTTCCATTTCAAGGATTACAGAATGTACGGAATAATGAAATGAAACAGCAAGATTTAATTTTACCTGATCAGCTACTCTGATTGTCATTGGAGCTTCTAAAACACCCGTTTCTTTATCAAAATATTTACAACTTTCTTCAAATAAACTTGGTCTACATCAAAATCAAAATATAATTAATTTAAAACATCGTTAAAAATCATAATCACAAATAAACTTGTTCTAGAGATAAATATAATTATAATAAAATCAGAATTATTTCATTTCTAAAATTATAATGACAAGAAAAAAACATAACATGGTGTTAGATAGCATTGAAACAACCTATCATGTATTCAGTCAAATCTCTTCATTATTACGTCAACTAACTAAATATAAAGTAGTTTGCTCCTGTTGAAGTTAAAGTTGAGTTGAGGTTTTATAACGTGAACTAACAGGCACAATAACATTTCTTCAATGCCTTTCAAATTAACCTTTTTGTAAATTTAACTCCTGTTTTTCTCTTTTTGTTACTTATATTGGGTTTATTTTACAATTCAATCATTAATAAACAAAATACACACAAAATACAAATATTAGAGAACTTACCTTGGTAGAAATTTAAGTTGAGCTGAAAACTGTGCCTGGGCCTGTATATAACCTGTTTTAGGTAATAATTCTAAATGATTTTCTAATTCTTTACAAATTTCAAATTTTAATCTCAAAGCTGTAGTGGCTCTGAAAGATATAAATCAATCATAGAAATTTACATTGAAAATAAACATTATTAACTATGTGGACTCTGTGAAATATATTCCGATTAAATATGTCAGTCCCTCCCACCTACATCATGGACAGGGAAAAACTGTGTCGATAAATTCAAGGGTATTATCTTGATTATAAACTAAAATAAAGCTATTTACCTGTTATTAACAACTATAGTATCTTGATAGAGTCTATTAAACATACAGATTTTAACATCTATAGTTGGTCTTTCAACCCAAACTGGTACATCTATAGCTTTAGCTACCGATCTTACAGATATCTACAATATAAAACACATTGACACATAACACATGAAACACAAAAACACATGATAAATAAAATAACACACAATCATATAATATAAAATAATATAAAAAAACATAAACATACATCGCCAAATAATGTAAGTTTTCTTATTCTATAGTATTTCCTTTTAATTTCTGCCAGTAACTAATAGTTAAATTATATATGTGATACTCGGGGTCCAGTTTTCAGATACTTTATAGCTTTAAGATAATAAGAAAGATTGAATATTGAAACACAATTTTATGGTATACTAATATCCTGATTTGAAATTATTATATCAAAAGGATGACTGACAATGTAAGTTGAAATGTTGTGTACAGGAGTATACTGTAGAATTGTTTGTAAATGTCGCTTAAGATTAGTCACACACATAGGCTTCTTTGAACTGTTATCAGGAAAGTACTTTAATTCAATCCTCATT